ACTGTGTCAGTCCATCTCACTGAGGGTCTTCCTCTTTTTCACTGACCCTCTACTTTACCAAGCATGATGTCCTTCTCCAGGGACTAGTCCCTCCTGATAACATGTCCAAAGTATGTGAGATGAAGTCTCTCCATCCTTACTTCTAAAGAGCATTCTGGCTGTACTTCTTCCAAGGAAGATTTATTCATTCTTCTGGCAGTACATGGTATATGCAGTATTCTTCACCAACACCATAATTCGAAGGCATCAATTCTTCTTCATCAATGATTCATTGTCCAACTTTTGCATGCATATCAGGCAATTAAAAACACCATGGCTTGGGTCAGGTGCACCTTAGTCCTCAAAGTTGGGAGATAGAGATGGAAATTCTATATACAAATAAATAGATAATCAAATGCACAATATGTCAGGTGGTGATAATTATCATGGAGAACAATACAGCAGGGTAAGGTAGAGGGTCAGTGAAAACGAGGGAAACCCTCCACGAGGTGGATTGGCACAGTGGCTGCAACAGTGGGCTCAAACATATCAAAGATTGTGAAGACAGTGCAGGACTGGGCAATGTTTCTTTCTGTTACACATAAGGTTGCCATGAGTTGGAGCTCACTCAAAGGCAACAACAACAAGGGAGGAAGGGCAGGAGTTACTGTTTTGTATAGGGTGGTTGGAGAATGCTTCTCTAATGTGATTTTTTTAACAGAGACCAAAAGGAAGAGAAGGATGAGGATAAGAGGCTGTCTGAGGGGAGGACAGTTCAGGCAAGAGGAGTAGCAAGTGTAAAGGCTGTGAGGCAAGAGGGGGATTGGTGTATTCCAGGGACAGCCAGGAAGTCAACGTGGCTGTAATGAAATGGGGTGGGGGAGAATGATACAAGTGAAGTATGAGAGGTTGGCGACTGGGCTGGATTACATAAGGTCCTTCAGCCCGTTGTAAAAATTTTGGCGTTTACTCTGAGTGAGATGGGAAGTCATTGAATGGTTTTGAGCAAAGGACAAACAAGATCTGACTTACATGTTTATGGAATCGTTTTTGGAGCAGCCCAGGGAAGAGGTGATAGTGGTTTGGATCAGGTAGTCACAGTGGGGGTGGCAAATAATGACCAGGCAGGTACTGAATATATCTTGGAGGTGGAGCTGATAGCATTTGCTCATGTACTGGATATGTAATGTGAGAGAAGGCATTGACTCCCAAGTCTTTGACTCAAGAAGTTGAAATATAAAATTTGGTATTTGACCCATTATGTATCTTGTTCTTTTTCATTCCTTTTTTTCTCTTTTAACAAAGTACCATGTTTACTATAAAGACCCTACAAGTAAGCAAACAAACTTACTAGTTATTTTGGCCATTTCAGTGTTATACAGCAGGAGCAAAATAAGTCACTTGGGAGAAGTCAATAGAATTCTATTTTTAATATTATTTAATTTTGTTAGTCTTTGGTACTTGAAGACATTTTTCTTTTATAGAAAATATCAATAGCTTTTGGAAAGTTAATTATGCAGTTAGGAATAGAATATGTGTGTGGTGTATGGGTATGGTTAGCATTTAAAACTTTTGTTCTACAATATTTATTCATCATCTACTGGCTGCCAGTAGCTGTACTAGGCAGTGGGGGCACACACACCCTACTCCTGAGGAGTTTATAGACTAGTGGGGGAGGGCAGATTTATACAATTGCATCAGAGGCAGTGGCATTGGTTTATGGGACCACAGCAGTGCTAGCAACTGACTCTCCCTACAGGTATCTAGGAGATCTCTCTAGGGCAGGTGACAGCTAATGTGGCTCTTGAAAGATGGTTAGGAGACTAGGCTGAGAGGGAGGGAAGAACGTTCCAGACAGAAGGAATAACATCCCAACTTCACAGACGCCTGGCAGGCTCAGCTTTTCAAAATACAATGAGAAATGTAGTGTGTGTGGAGCCTGCAGGTGGGTGGGGGAAGACAAGAGACCAGAAAGATGGATTGGCGCCAGCTGGGGAAGAGCCTTTATGCATGCTAAGCCCCTTGGACTTGAATCTTCTGTAGACAGTAGGTGATGCTAAAAGGCTTTCAGGAGAGGAGTTTACATGTTAGAAGACAGTTCTGGGGGTGGTGTGGTGGTAAAAGGACTGGTCTAGTACTTTCACTGACTGCTATAAGCAGTACCATTTATTCATTCAGTACACATTTTTACATTCACTGTCTATCTGTTAAGTGCCTCATTGTGCCAAACACTGTATTTGTGATTTGTAGTTCTGCTAGGCTTCCTGCTTACTTGTCTGTACGGTCCACATAGTCCATAAACTTACAAAGTTTTTAACTAAAAGTATTTACCCTTAAAGTAAAATGGTCCTGGCAAAGCTTTGTGAAATGCTGCAGTAGATTGCTGCTTTTGCGCCTGTATGATCATAAGCTCTTGTCTGTCATTGTGATGTTTCTTATGGATGTCGTTTATGATTTTGGGAATATAGAATGTTAGAGCCCAAAAGATCTCAGACGTCATCTAAGCCAAACTCTTCCTTTTACACATAAGGATTTCTGGCCCCAAGAGGTGAAGTCCCCTGTCACTTAGCTAGTTAATTCCAGTGCTGGCACAGGGACTGTCTCTAAATTTGAGGTTCTTGCTTTTTGAGATGCAGAAGACAAGAATTATGTATTAGATAGATGGGCACCATATTGATTGAGGAAAGAGAAGGGGCATGACTTTCTTTCTTTTTGCCTCTGCATCTCATCCCCTGACCTGGCTTTACTGTTCTCTCATAGCCCCTCCTCACAAGGTCTGTATTCGCTGTTAACCCTGTGATCGGTTCTTCCAGTAACCTGCTAGCTGTGAGAATAAGCAGCTTAACTACCGGGAATGTTCACTTTCATCATCTAATGATGTATCTGCTTATAGCTCCAACTTTCCACTAATAATAGACTTGTGAGAGAGGTAAAACCGTCATCAGCCCACAGCTTTTGCTCAAATGGACACACACTGCCCTAGTTCTGAGTCTCAAGAAAAAAATGTTAGGATGGTTCAAGTGTTTTATAAACGAGAGTGGAGCCTCAGTCTCTGGGGCCGGCCTGATCACGGTCTCTGAGCGGGTGTTACTACATTTTCAGACACTGGCTCCGTCCGCAGCTTACAGACAGGCGTGGGGGAGCTGCAAGGGGAAACCCGATTCTGGCACGGAAAGGATTACTGCAACTTCGTCTTCAAAGACTGGGTTCAACTAGACAAACCTTTTGCAGGTGAGTATCATGCTATAGGAGCTTGGCTGCTAACCAAAAGCTCAGCAGTTTGAATCCACCAGCTGCTCCTTGGAAGCCCTATGGGGAAGTTCTACTCTGTCCTATAGGGCATCTATGAGTCAGAATCGACTCAACGGCAACAGGTTTGGGTTTTTTTTGTAGCGTGCCAATGGGTGGCTGATTATATTTTGTCTTTTACTTTTTACATCTTAAGAAGTATGCATGTGCATGATCTAATTGTCTGTTATCTTGCTTTGTTTTTGTTTTTGAACATTTGGTAAAACTTTGGAGACTGATTCAGTTATATACTCATGGACTTTTCACTGTCGTTAGAGTAAGAAAAGAACATGAATTAGAGCTTACCTGTTGGAAACACCAGGTTTCCTATAGACATATTTTTTGGGATAATTGTAATTCTTTAGGAGAGGGTAGCCTACCTTGGATCATCTTCTTTTCTGTTTATCAGCGTCCAGTGTTAGGAAGGCACATCTTTAGATTGCCATAGTGCTTCTAGGTCTAAGAGGAGATAGAGACAGCCTGCCATTATTTCAACAAGATAAAAAGAAATATAAAGTAGCTAGCCTTGATCATTTGTACCAACTCACATCTTGCCTTATCTAGTGGTTAGCTTATACTATTTGTGGAGGTGCACTGGGGAGGCAGGCTGCATTCCTCAAAGTGAGATCTCTGTTTCCCTTGCCTGTAAAGGCGTTGGTCTACCCAAGCCAAGGAATGTACAGTAGCACACACTTTTCCGAGTCTTAGTTGGGAACAGAGATGCAGGGCTTCTGTCCCCAGCACAGTTGCTAGTGACCGATCCTTGCCCGGTGCACTTGGGCAGATTTCATCAACAGGTACTCCACTCCCCGGATGCCGTGGCATGACATCGCTTCTGTGGTCCATGGGAAGGCGGCTCGTGACGTGGCGCGTCATTTCATCCAGCGCTGGAACTTCACGAAGGTACAGGGACATGATTGTCAGGATGCAGGCCACGTGAAGAGAGGCAGGCCTAGCTAGAGGAGAAACCTGGAGGGTTAGCAAGAAGGGGCTGCAGTGGCTACAGCTTTGCCACCTGCCCTGCTCGGTGCTGCTGCGTACGTGGCAGTCAGAGCACCTGGGCCTCTGGACAAAAGAGGAAGCGTTCCTGAATTTGCACACCACAGACAATCCAGAGTGCAGAGGAGCAGACCCTGCTATGAGGGCTGGCATACGATGTGGCCTTTTTAACCCTTTTAACACCCTCTTTGTCCTAAGTGCTGTGCTAGGCCCTGGGGATACAAAAATCAGTAAGATATTGAAGTTGCTCACAGACTAGGAGAGGAGCTCAGAATTTGGGGGAAGCTCAGGAAGTTCCACAGGACTCTTTATATACCTTGTTGAATTATGTAGTTTTTGTTTGTTTGTTTTTATAATTTGTTTTATTTTTGTTGTTGTTGAGAATATACACAGCGGAACATACACCAATTCAACAATTTTTACATGCACAATTTAGTGACATTGATGACATTCTTCAAGTTGTGCAACTATTCTCACCCTCCTTTTCTGAGTTGTTCCTCCCCCATTAACATAAGAATGATGTAGTTTTGATTTTCTTCAGTCGATATGTGGTCACCATGAGTCAGAATCTATTCGACAGCAGTGGTTTTGGTTTTATATACGCTGAAGGGGGCATTGGGGCTCAGTGGTAACATTTTCACCTTCCATGCAGCAGATCCGGGTTTAACTCCCAGCTAATTCACCTCATGCACAGCCACCACCCATCTGTCAGTGGAGGCTTGCTTGTTGCTATGATGCTGAACAGGTTTCGGTGGAGCTTCGGGACTAAGACAGACTAGGAAGAAAGGCCCGGTGATCTACTTCTGCAAATCCACCAATGAAAATCCTATGATCACAATGGTGTGATCCACAACCCATCATGGGGATGGTGCAGAACCAGGCAACATTTGGTTCCATTGTGCGTGGGATTGCCATGACGTGGGGGCCAACTCAATGGAAGCTAACAACAATATGTTTACCTGTTTCATTTAGTATTTGTTTTGTTAAATTGTGTCATAGATTCAGAAAGATATTACTGAAATGCCTCATGTTGATAGATGCTTTGTTGTAGGGAAGGCATGGCATGTTTATCTGGAATAGCACTCATTACATGCAGGTGGTAGAGGGAGATCTCCATGCCCTGGAGAGCTGTTGATCTTGTTAGAGTTAGGAAGAGGTTACTGAAATGTTGTTACAAGACTCACGATTTAACTGTGGTTAAGGTATGCTTTACAAGTGTAGATTTAATAAGGAATTCACCTGAACGGAAAGAGTTGGAAGGAGTACTTAGAGTTCCTTCTTTACCTTCCTATCTTAAATACCTCGTACGCATCCTTCACAGTTTGGCTCTGAGGGAGCCTCTCTTGAGAAACCTTTACTAGTTTGCCAGACATTATTCCTCTAGGCATAGTTATCCTCTCTGTTCTGTTAGCACTCTATTCATATTTATCTTATTCATCTATTCATCCATTACACAAATATTCACCAAATATCCACCATGTACCAGACACTGTGGCAGCAAGATGCAGTAGCACTTAGGACATCTTATTGAAATTATGTATTGATTTACATAAATCTAATGGGATTTATTTTCCCGTTAGACTATAAGCTTACCCAGGGCAAGGACGTCTCACTCATTTTGTCCCAGTAAGTGGTCTCTGGAGGAAGGCAGCAAGGAAGCAACCCGGTCTATCCTTGTGCCTGACGAGAGTTCTCTCTGTTGCATTACCTGATATTCCAGGTGTTTTTTTAGTTTGTGGACAATAAAGTGGGATTCGTGCTTCTCATATTCTTAACACTATTTCTGCTAATAAACTCCAGATATTATTAGCTAGCCTAAGTACTATCAATAACACATCACACTTATTTTACCAATTTTATATGTTTAAAAATAAATCCACGGGTACAAGGTTTTTTGAAGGGTACTGAAAGGGTTCTAGAAATATATAGGGGTAATAGGTGCTTAACCTTCTGAATATACTGAAAACCATTGCATTTTACACTTTAAAGGGTGGATTTTATGACATGTGAATTATATCTCAATTTTTAAAAAGTAGCATTGGAAATATTTGGGCCAAAGCTGCGTGACAAAAGTGGAGGTAGTGGCCACGGAGCAAGGCTCTGACTCCGGAAGTCCTTGGCCTCCCACTCTCCCAGCACACAGGAAGTCGCCAGCTCCTTTGTTGGCCTGGGCTTGAGTCAAAGTTCTGGTTCCAACTCCTGAGGTGTGGCCAAGGTGACCTTGTTCACCTTGCTGCATCCCAGGGGTTTGGCATAGGGACAGAGGGAAGGATCGCATCCGTCTGGGGTATCAGAGAAGGCAGACTTCACAGGGCCCAGAGGAGAAGGGCATTCCCTACCATTGGCATGCAGCCTTTTAGCTTTGTGTGGGTAGTGGAGGTCAGAGGCATGGGATGGTCACAGGCCAGGCAGAGGACATCTGGGTTTAGGAAGATCTCTGGGCGTGCCAACACAGCTGCCTTTCAGTGAAGTGCTACCACGTGCCATGTACCACAGTAGGCCCTGCACACACTCACACTCACGTGCATTCAGACACACACACTCACATGCACGCACACACATACACTAAAATAAATAAATAACACTAGCAACCTTTCCATAGGCTGAAGCTATATTATTATTTGACATTAAATATCTTACAAAATATAATCTCTGCAGCTTTGCAAATTATAAGAAAACTGTAAGTTCCCAGGGGAAAAATGTAATGCCAAAGAAAACTGTTGACAGTGGTTAAGAGTTTGGCTGCTAACCAAAATGTCGGCAGTTCGAATCCACCGGCCGCTCTTTGGAAACCCTATGGGGGCAGTTCTACTCTGTCCTATAGGGTCACTATGAATCAAAATCGACTCAACGGCAACAGGTTGTCCAGGGATTTTAAAATGTTACTTCAGAAATTATTTCAAGGGTTTTTTCAAAAATGAAAGTTTTTAATGTTTTTGGAAGTGAATAGAATTTATTATTTCACAAGCTCTAAGTTACCACTGCTTTTCGAATTACAGAACAAAGCCTGTGAAGTCAGCTTTAATATTTGATTCTGAACTGTTAAATTGATTTTTTTTTTCATTTCCCTTTCTTACATTTTTCCTTTCTTAAACTAAAAGCAAGTAGAAGCCCAGGCCCAGCTACCAATGGAATCCTTCTATACAGAAACATGTTTGAATTACTGACGATTCCCACCTCCCTCTCTCCTCTCGGATGGGATGAGCAGACTCAACATCAGCAGGGAGGCAAAATCAGCAAAAACTAATTCCACCCTAGGCAGCACTTAGACAACATATGGAGTGCTTTGCCCAGTCCTGGTGGTAAAGAATGAGAAATTGCATTTTTACTAACAGACTGGAGAGGAGATGCTTCAGGAGGACACAGTAGCCACGTTTCCGTGTTTGAAGGGTCACTCTCAGAGCCCCAAGCAGGAGAACCAGGCCAGGGAGGCTGCCTGGCTGGTAATGCACTGGCCCACCTGGGTAGGCACGTGGAGGGCAATTGTAAGGGATGTGAACCTTGCTGAAGTGAGAAACCTCAAGCTTTCAAGTCCCTTCCAACCGCACAGGGTTCTCATTGGTACAGGATTTTCAGAGGTAGTTCTGAGCAAAGCGAGCAGTTTGAGAAGGTAGAACCATTTTTTTTTTCTCCAGACTGAATTTCTTTTAGTGTGCCTTCATTATTTGTAAGGATTTGACCTAACCTTCTTAAGTATATATCATCCAGGTGTGGCTGAGTTTCCGGGAATAACCATTGTATTTATCTTAAATGATGATGAGGCATTCTTTCCCCTGATGATTTGGAAAAGGACTTAGTTTTATCAACAGCTTACAGTCTCACCTTGTTTTTCATTCATATAAGCATTATAAAATTTAGCAGAAGCCCTTCTAACAAAAATTTAGGGGGAAAGGATGAGTAAACAAAGGGACATTACTTTTAAGCTGCTAGACTAGCAAAGATAAATACTGCTAATAGTTGAGTATATAGTATTTATTATATCCTGCTCCTGGGAGGATAAATTCATACACCAGCAAGTGTTTTAAGAACTGTACAACCATTGACCCAGAAAAATTATTTCCAGATATTTAAGCAAAAGAAGTAATGCAAAAGGTAATTTATTATGACATTGCTTCTAATACTTGAAAGAAAATTAGAAACAACTGAAATGCTTGTTAATAAGAATTTATTAAACAAATGATTCATTCTTCCATACCATTTTATTATGAAGTTATTGAAAAATGATAATATAGAGCCGCACTGCTCCTGCAGCACGGTGTCTGCGACATTTACCGGTCACCTTCGGGTCGATTCTGACTTGTGGAACGTAGTAAAAACAGCAGGTTACAAAACAGTAATCTCATGTTTGCAGCTATGTATCTCTGTAACTATAGGTTATATTAACTTCCTGTATAGAAAGCAATACATGCTCATCGTGAAAGAACAAAGAAGGAAATATACGAAAAAGAAAGAAAAGAAAAAATGAATGATCTATGACCCCTTCACCTAAAAGCATTCACTGTTAACATCTGTCTTTTTCTTTTTCAAATGAACCTGAATTTCAGTCATAACACAGGGATGAAGAGAAGTGCTTTCTCATTTGAGTCATTTTTATCTGTTTTTCTTTATTTCAGATTATGAAACCAAAATATCGGTCTCTTTCGTACCCATTTCTGCTTCCAAAATCTCAAACAACGGCCCATGAGTTAAAATATCAAGTGCCTGAATCTGTATGTGCAAAAGTACAGGTAAGCCTGGCTTTTCTTTCTTACAAAGTGCTGCTGGGTAAGATTACTCATATTGGACTCAGTGTCTGTTACGTTGTCTTCAGATTTTTCATTAAAGACAACTTCTCCAAAGCAAAACTGAATGAACCTTTTACAATTTAGTAAAATCTTACACTTCCTATTTAAAATGTATTCAATTCACTTCCTTACAGAAATCGTTTATAGATGTAATTAATGCATGTCCTCAGAAAAGGCCACAGTCAAGGAAAGGCTATTCCTGTACCTCCTTCTGCAGTAGCCCTGGCAACATGATACACAGTAAACCTGGGACTGATAGTGCTTAAATACCAAGAAAGTGGCTGAAACTTAGCATCCTGGAAGCTAGTTATAGCTTAATCTAATTTTAGTTCTTAATTAACTAAGTGCCTTTTAGAGTCTCTTTTAATTGAATAGGAGCCCTGATGGTACAGTGGTTAAAGCATACAGCTGCTAACCAAAAGGCTGGTGGTTTGAACTCACCAGCTACTCCATAGGAGAAAGATGTGGTAGTCTGCTTCTGTAAAGATTTACAGTCTTGGGAACTCTATGCGGGCATTTCTATTCTGTCCTATAGAATTGCTATGAGTCAGAATCGACTCGATGGCAGTGGGTTTGGTTTTGGGGCTTAATAGAATAAGAAATTTGCTTAATAGACTCACAGAATTTTACATCATCCAACCACCTTAATTTACAAATAAGAAAAATCAAACCCAATGGGGCTATGAGACTTGTCCAGGGTAACCTAGCAACTTATTGATGGAGGTAGAACTTGAAAATCCTAGACTGAAATTCTAAACGGCTGCCTCTTCCACCTCTAGCTCAAATATCTTTGGATCATGTGGGGACAGAACTAGGATGGGCTGCCTTTGGCATTGCCTTTTGTTCAAAGTCATCACTATCAGTGTCAAAAGCATTGTTTAAGTAAAGATCAGTAGTCTGCTACTGGCATCACCAATATAGACTTATATTTCCAGACATGAATTCCAATGAATGTGATGATATAAACGAAATGTCTAATGCAGTTACTTTGTGCTATGTACAAGTAGAAGTGTATGTATAAAAAATAGAAAGGCATTTCAAACCATAGATCTAATAACAGAACAATCAAAAAGGAAACATTGCTTGAGAGAAGTACCTGTGGCAAATACTTAGTCATCCCATACCAAGGAGACAACGAATTTAAACTTAGAGGCACAAATAGCTATGCATTCATATGGAAATGGATGAATATTTTTTATGAACCTGCTTAATTTTATTGTACTTGGAGGGGAAAAAATTTCCCAAGCTCTAAGATAAAATAGGAATCTTGGTATTAGGAAATCAAAAGAATTTAAGGTTTGAGTTTGCAATAAAATTGACTTGGTGGTCAATTTATCTAAATTAGTTGATGTTAATTAAGCATTTATTGAAAATGTATTTTTTATGATCAATAAAGGATGTTTTATCCTAGTATTGCATATACATATATCTTTCACTTGCCAATGGCAGAGCTGTGACTTACATATTCTTATTCTGCCGAAGACAGATAGATACTCTGCCTGCCTGCTTTACAAAACACCTCCCTTCATTCATCTTCTGTGGATCACTGGATGTTGTCTTAGAGATGGGGCTAAATCAGATACGCTCTGCTGATATGCTCATGTGTTCATCCCCAAATATGTTCGGGTGGCCTGGACTCAGGAACCTACCAAGCCCGTTGATAAAAAGAAAGTTTACCAAGATTCACTCATTCATTTATTCAGTCAACAAACATTTGCACGGTGAAGTCATTAAAGCACACTTGGATTCTGAAGGGATGGACAGAAAGGGTGTTCTCTGCCTCTGGAAGCATATTTAGCTGGGGAGAGAAAGCTTAGTGATGTTAAAGAATTTGGTTAATAATATAGTAAATACTGGTATGAGGATTCAGACCTCAATGCTATGTGAGTTCAGCAAAAGACTGAGACAGAGCTGGTTGCCTTTTAATCATGTCAGTCCCTACATCCCAGTGTTCAAGGCTGCAAGGGAGGGAATGAATTACTCACTTTGAGGAGTCCCCATTGTTGCCAACTGAGCTGGATTTTACCATGGAGTAGGTTTGCTTTAGAGTCCCTCACTTCCATGGGCGTTTTCAAGGCCCAATACTTACCTTTTTTTTATTTTTTATTGTTGTGCTTTAGTTTACAATTCAAGTTAGTCTCTCATACAAAAATCTATACATACACTGTTAAGTGACCCTAGTTGCTCTCCCTATACTGTGACAGCGCACTCCTCCTTTCCACCCTGGATTTCCTGGGTCCATTCAACCAGCTCCTGACCCTCTCTGCCTTCTCATCTCACCTCTAGACACTAGCTGCCCATTTAATCTCATGTATCTACTTGAGCTAAGAAGCACACTCTTCACAAGTATCATTTTATGTCCCATAGACCAGTCTAATCTTTGTCTGAAGAGTTGGCCTCGGGAATGGTTTTAGTTCTGGGCTAACAGAGAGTGCCCTGGCCATGTCTTCCAGGGTCCCTCCAGTCTCAGTCAAACCATTAAGGCTGGTCTTTTTACTAGAATTTGAGTTCTGCACCCCACTTTTCTCCTGCTGCATTAGGGACTCTCTGTTGTGTTCCTTGTCAGGGTGGTCATTGGAGGTAGCTGGGCACCATCTAGTTCTTCTGGTCTCAGGCTGATGAAGTCTCTGGTTTACGTGGCCATTTCTGTCTCTTGGGTTAATACTTTCCTTGTGTCCTTGGTGTTTTTCATTCTCCTTTGCTCCAGTTGGGTTGGGACCAATTGATGCATCTTAGATGGCCACTTGCTAGCTTTTAAGACTCCAGATGCCACTCACCAAAGTAGGATGCAGAATATTTTCTTAATAAACTTTGTTATGCCAATTGACCTAGATGTCCCCTGAAAGCATGGTCCCCAGACCCCCACCCCTGCTACTCTGTCCCTCAAAGCATTTGGTTGTATTAAGGAAACTTCGTAGCTTTGGTTTAGTCCAGTTGGGCTGACTTTCCCTGTAGTGTGTATTGTCCTTCCCTTCACCTAAGATAATTCTTGTCTACTATCTAGCTAGTGAATACCCTCCTCCCTCCCTCCCCACCCTCGGAACCATCAAAGAATGTTTTCTTCTGTGTTTAAACCTTATCTTGAGTTCTTATAATAGTGGTCTCATACAATATTTGTCCTTTTGCGACTGACTAAATTCACTCCATAATACCTTCCAGATTCCTCCATGTTATAAGATATTTCACGAATTCATCGTTATTCCTTATTGTTGCACATCATTGTTCTTTATTGTTGCGTAGTGTTCTATTGTGTGAATAGACCATGATTTGTTTATCCATTCATCCGTTGATAGGCACCTAGTTTGTTTCCATCTTTTTGCTATCATGAACCGTGCTGCAATGAACATGGGTGTGCATATATCTGTTTGTGTGATGCCTCTTATTTCTCTAGGATATATTCCAAAGAGTGGGATTGCTGGATCGTATGGTACTTCTATTTCTAGCTTTTTGAGGAAGTGCCAAATTGATTTCCAAAGTGGTTGTACTATTTTACATTCACACCAACAGTGTATAAGTGTTCTAGTCTCTCCACAACCTCTCCAGCATTTATTATTTTGTGTTTTTTTGGATTAATGCTAGCCTTGTTTGGGTGAGATGGTATCTCATTGTAGTCTTGATCTGTATTTCTCTAATGGCTAATGATCGTGAGCACTTCCTCATGTGTACGTTAGCCACCTGAATGTCTTCTTTGGCAAAGCACCTGTTCATATCCTTTGCCCATTTTTTAATTGGGTTATTTGTCTTTTTGTTGCTGAGGTTTTACAGTATCCTGTAGATTTTAGAGATTAGACGCTGATCGGATTTGTTGTAGCCAAATTTTTTTTCCCAATCTGTATGTTGTCTTTTGACTCTTTTGGTGAAGTCTTTTGATGAGCAAAAGTGTTTGATTTTTAGGAGCTCCCTGTTATCTAGTTTCTCTTCTGGTGTTTGTGCATTGTTACTAATGGTTTGTATTCTGTTTATGTGCGTGGTGTGAGGTGTGGGTCTTGTTTCAGTTTTTTGCAGATGAATATCCAGTTATGCCAGCACCATTTGTTAAGGAGATTGTCTTTTCCCCAATTAACAGACTTTGGGCCTTTGTCAAATATCAGCTGCTCATAGGTGGATGAATTTACATCTGGATTCTCAATTCAGGTCCATTGGTCTATGTATCTGTTGTTGTACCAGTACCAGGCTGTTTTGACTATCATGACAGTATAATAGGTTCTAAAATCAGGTAGTGTGAGGCCTCCCACTTTGTTCTTCTTCAGTAATGTTTTATTTATTTGGAGCCTCTTCTCTTTCCATATGAAGTTGGTGATTTGTTTCTCCATATCCTTAAAAAATGCTGTTGGAATTTGGATCAGGATTGCATTGTATCTGTAGATCGCTTTGGGTAGAATTGATGTTTTCACAATGTTGAGTCTTCCTATCTATGAGCAAGGTATGTTTTTCCACTCATGCAGGTCTCTTTTGGTTTCTTGTAGTTTTCTTTGTATAAGTCTTTTATGTCTCTGGTTAGATTTATTCCTAAGTATTTTATCTTCTTGGGGGCTATTGTAAGTGGTATTGATTTGGTGATTTCCTCTTCAAATTTCTCTTTGTTAGTGTAGAGGAATCCGACTGATTTTTGTATGTTTATCTTGTATCCTGGTACTTTGCTGAAATCTTCTACTAGTTGCAGTAGTTTTCTTGTGGATTCTTTGGGGTTTTCTGTGTATAAGATTGTATCATCTGCAAATAGAGATACTTTGACTTCTTCCTTACCAATGTGGATGCCCTTTATTTCTTTTTCTAGCCAATTGCTCTGGCTAGGACTTCCAGCACAATGTTGAATAAGAGTGGTGATAAAGGGCATCCTTGTCTGGTTCCCATTCTCAAAGGGAATGCTTTCAAAGTTGCTCCATTTAGGATGATGTTGGCTGTTGGCTTTGTATAAATGCCCTTTATTATGCTGAGAAATT